ACTTTTGTTTGTCCTTGGCATCTATGGAAATTCTCAATCTTTCAGGTTATGGTTGCCCCAAAGGTGCTTTTTCTAAAAGGCAACTGGACTTTCTTGGTTTTTTGTTTGAAAATGTTTTTCTCCTCATCCAAGAAACTTCTTCAGTTTCTTTCAGTTTCTTCAAGAACTGAAGAAGCTTCTTGGATGAGAAAAAAAACTTTTTCAAACAAAACCCCAAGAATATCCAGTTGCCTTTTGAAAAAAAGCACCTTGGGGTTTTCCCTTAATCTTTCACTCAACTGCATCAAGTTCTTACAAAACCTTATAGTTCTGTGGAACACAATTTGAAGAATTGATTTAAGGCAGCTTCTGCTGTTCAAATTGTTCAGGTGAGCTATACTGCAGCAAACTTCAGCCATGGCCATCCTGCCCTTACTATTGTATTTGATAATAAATGGGAAGTAAAATGTGTTTAAAGTTAATGTTCAGAATTTCAAAGGCACTTTGGTCAACTCTGTATTTCTTAATTTCTATTATTTAATTTTTACTCATATTAGTTTTGTCCTCAGATATATCTGCCATGGATTGGAATAATTTCACACACTAAGCCAGATGACTAATTCTATATAAGCATTCTGTTGTCTAGACCAGGTAATTTAATGCAATTTGCTACTAACAATGGTTTAACTTTTGTCTCTCAAGAGACAAATAATTCACTGTGAAAGTAAAAATTTCTTGCAAAAACTATGATGTTCGTTCCAACATTTTAAAGTAATGGGTGATTGTTATTTCTTCTCTTAGGATACTGTTTTAGTAAACAGAAGCCATCGATAATATTTTTACTTCTATCTTCCACTGTAATGCTATGTTGAAATAAGTATAAGAGTGCAGTGAAAGGGTGAAATTAAAGTCAATGGTTCACAAGCCAAAGTCTTGATTCCTCTTCCTTCCAGAACACTATAATTTAGAATTTCACACTAATATGTTGAAAACTTGGAAATTACTGATGAATCCCTTTACTTCTCTTTCACATAATAAAGAACAATTTTACACTATCCTTAATTAGATCTTATAAAATGTAAACAGGAAATAAGGGCACTTTGTAAGCTGAAGTTTCTTTTTCCTGAATTTTTTTCTAGATGGATAGATGAAGACATTGAGTTTTCTTAAAGGTAGGAGCCTGTTAAAATTTTCTTAAATATATAGCCAGTCATAGAGGGTTAAATGCCTATTATACAGTATGCCACTCTTATTTCCAAGATTTGTTGCTCTGTGCTATGGTTAGGAAACCATCAATGATTGTGGAAATCAATAGCTCCAATGAAAATAAAGGATACACAATTCAATCATTTAAAAAGGAATTCCAGTTAATGGGCTTTTCTTCCCTTGCCAAGAAAACTACAGGGATTTGTCTAGTCAGTCTCCAAGAATTTAGGACTGCAGCCAGTGAGAAGAGAGAGACAAATGACCTAGAGCCAGAGGACTGTTCACTAATTCAGAGTAATGAGACACATCTTGGAATGTTTTGTGTTATAACATGAGGTGGATTTATTACAGATGTTTTAATCCTACACTATACAATATTATCCTAGCTGCCATTGAATATGTAGTTATGCTTAACTGCATTTTTTACTCCTAATTGCTGACCTCAAAATGGTGACATGAACATGTTTTTTCTGCAGTGTCCCATATATGCTGTTATGCATGAAACAATGAACCCCCAATCAATCAGCTACACTTTAGCCTAGTATCTTTTGCAAACTGAATCTGTGTAATTAACTTATAGTTTAGTTCAGTAATGGCAAATCTTTGGGGCCTGGCACTTTGGAAAATGCCTAACTTGATTAGGCTGGTTCCACCAAACAAGAGAAACCATTTTCTATCTCGCCAGTTAGGCCACCCTAAACAGTGGCACTTGGTGGCAGCAATGAGGCTGGGCCTGAGGCGGAGGCCCAGGCCTCGGCTTCAGCCCAAGTGCCACCAGCAGATGCACAAGCCTTGGGGAATGGTGCAAATTCCCCTGTGGCTCAATGGTCCCTAGGTTATGCTGTGTGCCACTTATCTTCAGACAGTGTGCTCTTAAACTGTGGAAAGCATGCTGTTCCTATGTGATTTTCAGAGGCTCCAGTGGCCATGCAAGAGCACGGCCCTCTCACACAACTTCTGGAGGCTGTATGAGAGCACACCCCATTCTTGTGTAGCCTCTGCAGCTTCCAAAAATGGCATGAAAATGGGGCATGCTTTCAAGAACAGTTGTTGTTGGGTGTTGGTGAATGCTGGTATATAACCCAAAATGTGGCTTGTGACTTTTGACACACGTCATAGGTTCGCCATCACTGGTTTAGTATATCATATGTACCAAAATAATTCTTCCATTAACATTTATCTAAAACCATAGACCTAAAAATCTTGAAGTAATCCATATATTTTATTCACCAAAAACAGATAATTCTTGGATTATTTCATTGTTTCTGCTAAGTATCTTTGCTATTTGCTAATGTAGCAAAAGAATTTCTTTTCTGCATTCTGTATGCATTGTTGCTTTCAGTATAATCCCAATGTATCTTGCTATTCCCTTCTGTATTTGCAAAATGCATGTTTTTACTGTCTCCTTTTCTGTTCCTGTTAGATCTTTGATTATTCATCATTTAAACAAATGCATTTTCTCTGAAGTGCCTGATCAGTCTCTGAAAGGCCCCTGAGAATTTAGTACCTCTGCAGCATTTTTCAATACTGCATTTCTAAAAGTTTTTAAAACTAGTTTAAAAATAAAACTTTGCTGTTTTGCTATAAATAGCAAAATGATCGAAGGGTTTATTAAATCCATATTATACCATAGCCAGATAAGCACAGGATACTTTATCACCGAAGAATTCTAGATATTGCTGAATTATAGCTGCAGTGCTAGATCTAATTGAATGAAGGTGATAGAACATGTACTAATTTTTGCAACTGCGAATATCTGTATAACTAAAATCAAAGTTATAGTTTCTAAAAATATAAAACATGCTCATTTACCATCAACTGAAGTACTAAAAATTGAATTTGAGGGTTTATGGAGTGGGAAGTTACACAGTTCAGTGGCTACTGTATACTGATTCTGCTGGTAGATGAATAGAACATACCGCACATTTTATCACCCTTGATGACAGAAAGAGTTCCACTATAGCTAGTTAGATCTCATCTGATTTCCACTGGAGATATATAAGAAGTCAAGAGATATTCTAGGTGATGATTTGGAAACTTTCAGAAACATAGCCATTTAAGAAGACAGTCACAGTGTAAAATCAGTGTTCCTGTTTCAAACAAACATGCTTCATTTGTTCTTTATATAACAACTATTTCTGGACTTTCAAAAAATAATGTTAAGCCATCATCAAAATTAGAGCCAGTTTGGTGTAGTAGTTAAGGCCTAGTCCAGCCTTAGGCATGAAAACTGATTTGGTGATTTTGAGCTAGTCACGCTCTCTTAGACCAACCCACCTCATAGAGTTGTTGTAATGGGAGAAAGAGGAGGAGGAAGGTGTATTATGTATGTTCACTGTCTTGAGTTACTTATAAAGGTGAGATAAAAATCTAATAAATAAAATCAGATGCCATGTAACTCAATAAGAAGCATCAGAGAGGTTTGAGCTAGATTTTATTTCACAATTGCTCTGTGCTATTATCCTCCTTCAGAGAAGACAGCAACTTTCTTGGCCATGAAATCAACCAATGTAATATGATGTGGGGCAATGCAACAATGTAGCCAACTTAAACACATGGCTCACTCAATGAATACCTTGCTATAGGGTCTGCAAAATGATGGGATGCTTTTAGATATGGCCATTATTTTACAATTACCTTGTTCATTAAGAAAATAAAAAGGAATTCAGGGTCTATATAATCAATTTTTTCATTGATAAGTGTCCTATATTTTTCCGCTGTAGCTTCCATTTACTTTTATTAATAGAAAAAAGTCTATAAAGGAGGAAAAAATGAAAGCGGTAATCAGCAGTCTGGAAGCATCTATGAATACAAGTCCAGTTGGCGGATAGGTCACAGAACAGGTGTTATACCACTCTTAGGAAAACAGAAGAGGATTTCTCTGATCTCCAATTCTCTGATCTCCCATTCAGGGGAGATTGTTCCTGGGAAGAGCTTTCTAGGACAGGGCTTTTCAACCTTTTCACCCATTGTACCACTTTTAGGATATGGCAATATCCGAGTACCACCAGTCGCCTAGCAAGGTGTCAAAAACTTGATGACCAAAAAAAAAAAAAAAAAAAGGAAAAAAGTGATAAAGTACAGGTAGTCCTCAACTTACAACAGTTCGCTTAGTGACTGTTCGAAGTTACAATGGCACTGAAAAAAGTGCCTCCCTAACCACAGCCGAGCAAGACACCTGCCTGCTCGCCCAGCGGCGCTCTTCCTCATGTCCGAGGTTTTCATTGTTGTGAGCATTTCTGTTGAGGATTGGCAGCAGGGGTGGTGGTGGGTGTTTGGTTTTTATTCCCCCCGTCTGCTGGGTGGTTGCAGCAGGTTTTGGTCACTTCACATGACCCTGGGACACTGTGACCGTCATAAATATGAATCAGTTGCCAAGCATCTGAATGTAAATCACAAGACTCTGGAGATGCTGCAACATTCCAGCTGATTGGTGCTTCTTCAGGGCTCAGCAGAAGTGCCAGAATCAGTGCTGCTTTCCAGCTGATTGGTGCTTCTTCAGGGCTCAGCAGAAGCACCAGGATCAGCGCAGAGCTCCAGCTGGATCCTGGCGCTGATCCTGGCGCTTCCACTGAGCCCTGACAGCCCCGAAGAGCGCCAATCAGCTGGAAAGTGGCACTGATCCTGGTGCTTCCGCTGAGCCCTAACAGCCCTGCAGCTCCAGCAATCTCTCGCTCAGGCTTGTGCGGTGCTACCACCGGTTCAGCTCATTCCCCTCCCCCGCTACCACTTTTCTAGGATGGTCACGTACCACCTGCCAGGTACCAATGTACCACAGGTGGTACCTGTACCACTGGTTGAAAAGCCCTGTTCTAGGATATATTCAAATCAACCCACTTAGGAAAGTCTGAAATTATTCCATGTCAAGCTGGAACAAAGGTGATTAGAAGTATCTTATACATGGCTAAAAGATATAGCCTCTTGCCCAGAAATTAAATTATCTAAGTAAGCACTGGAAGTAAAACTATGCCCCATGCCCCATCCAGCTACAGACTGCCACTCCAAATTCATTTCCAGATGAATTTAGATCATTTGAAATACCAGGCTGAACAGTTGCAATTTCTGATGCATTTTAACTCAACTGTGCATGGACAAATTTCAAAGTCAATGAAGCAGATATCCATAGATTCTTCCAGTGCCAGTTCCCTCTAGGAACATCAGAAAACCATACTACTTTTCCATGTTCTTGTTTTTCCCTATTTCTGAAGTCATAGGAGGGAACACAACTCCTTAATGCCCTCAAGGGAAAGAAATGGGTCATCAGGTCAGTTCTAGAGTAAGTTGGGAAGTGCATTCATCTCCTTCAGGCTAGAACTGCCATCTAAACTGGATTCACTGGATTACAAATCTTGTCAGAAATCCATGATGTTTTCAATCTGTTCTCCGGATAAACCATATCTCATTGCGACGATTGGGTATACTAGGGTTCTGATATGCAGCCACCAAGTATGTTTCACGGAGCACATTATCTGTCGAGCCCAATAACTCCCAAAGAAAGTGAATCTCTCGCAGGATTGTCTCCTCAGTAGCTGGCCCATAAAACTCCCTTTACAGAAAGTTAACAACAAAACAGTTATATAAATATATTGTGTTTAGCATCTGGTTTCCTTCCTATCTATCCAGCATTCACCTACCCATCTACCTATCCATCAATCAATGCAAAGTTCCTAACCTTTTTTAAAATATGAGAAAAACTGGCCTAACAAAGAGCCAATTTCGCCACAAGATCCTTTCCTTTTTCCATTATTATAACCAAAGGCATATTTTCCTTTACTTAGAAACTATTTTCCCAGTCATGCATACTCTTTTTCCTGCTTAGAATGAAAAGCAAGTCAATTCCTACTCTACTTAAAAGGCTGTTTGCATCTAAAGCATAGCCAAGTCCACCAGGACTCACCTGGTGATAACCTGAAGTGGTGATCTTTCTAGGATTTGGATTTCTGGATCCATGGGGAGAGGAGGATTAAGCTGAAATTCCTGAGGAAGATAATAAGCAGTGATAACTTCTTGGACCAAATCAGTACCCTCCTTATTCAGGTGGATCTCATTAATCACAGGTACTGTCATCCCCAAGTGCTGGCCTGGATAAAGATATGGGTAAAAATATCAGTTATGAAAGGTAAACCTAGGGAAATCCATTCCTTGTTTTTCCAAACCCCATTAATCCTGGTCATGTAAACTTCTACATCTCCCCATGCCACCTGCCTGTACATACCTAGGGAATTCTCTTTGCAGATGTATCTTATAAGTTTCATGAAACTCAGTGAGGTGCTCTGCTCATACTTGGGTTCTCCTTTGGTGATGCATGCCCATTTCCCAGCAGGGTATAGACGTTCCTCATATGTTGTTTCCTCACACTGAACCAAGAAGGAAAGAACTGGTTTTACTGCCAGGGGAAGAAATATCAACAGTGTAACAAAGTTTATGAGTTTTTAAATCTAGATAATTACATTAACTGAGTCAAATTTGATATCTTTACAAATTATATAATTTTTGGGGGAATGTTGGTATGTGAATAAAAGCTACTGTTTCACATTTTTTAAAAAATAAATACAAATTTGGGGAAACATTTAACTATACGTAATGTTAATATTCCAATACACACCGGTATTACTGATGTAAATGTTTTAAGTAAAATCTTCTTGTGTATGTTTGTGTGCACATGTGTTTCTATATATGTGTTTATCCATTTTATTGTGCATCTTAAATGTAAAATATATCTTTCCTAATAATTCATTTCAATTTTATCACTATAAGCTGAAATTACAAAGCATCTAAAAGTAGAGATAACTTATCTTTTGTTTTTCATTAGTCCCTTTTAAAAAGACGTATGTTTCTGAAGAAGACATGGTTGGTAACAGTCTACACTACACATTTGGTCCAGAAGAATCCCAAAAGGCACCATGTGCTTTTAATATAAACAAACTGAAGCAAAGTTAACACAGACTACAGGTATAACTGTTTTAAGAATATTGCCATCATTAAAACTGAAATAGTAAACAGTAAAAAAAAAGCAGATTCATGGGAAAGAGTATAATGCAACTCCTACTCATCATCCTTTGGGCTACGACCCTAATATAGTAAATCTTTCCAAATGATCTGAAAATTATTAGGCTGTCTTACTCTGGAATAATTTGCATGGTGGACTATTTAGACTGTAGTTCTCTACCGCTTTACTGCAGATGGTGAAATTTAGTTTTGAGTAGAAATATAATAGGCTATATCCTCAAAATCACATCCAAAAGACAAATTTGGTAGAAACTTAATGATGGCTAGAACTATAGTTTGGGTGAAATCATGGACACTTAAGGAAACCAGGAACATTTTATGATTTTATTCTACAATTCTTCCTCATCTATCCAAAAATATGATAATCAGCTGGATACATATATTACGTTATTCAGAAACAGCAGTCTATGCCTGTTAGGCAATAAACATTTACATTAATATGATTGCTTACCTTCTCATGCTGTGATAAAACAGTGTAGGGCACAGGTTCTCGCACATGGTTATGGTGGGTCATCTGTACTATTGGACCTGCCATGTCTATTGGAACAGAGTTAATTGGGAAAAATTAACTTTAAGGATGAAAACATTTGTACACAACTGCATTTCTAAATAACCTTCTACTTAAAATGCTTTTCATTAATTCATATTTGTGTGTTCCAGCCTCCAACCATGCATAATGAAGTGGTTGAGACTTTGAGTCTGTGGGAATTGGAGGGTGGGGGGTAATGCTAGGTTCTAGAGAAAGAAAAATTGCTAAAAACTGTCTGGCAGAGTAGAAATAAGCATGCTGGACTTTGTCTATCTCAGATTGTAAATTCTTCTTTACCTGAGTACTGGAGTGACAACAGCGAAAATCAAAATAAAGAAACACTGGAGTTCCTTTATTCCATTCTAGAGTTCACAGCACTATTTTTCTTGGTCTTTGGTCTGCAGCAACAAAAATCCATCTTTCCTTCTTCAAAGTAATTAAAGAATACTAACAGTAAAGTAGTAGTAGTAATTTTTAGTGTATACAGTGTTTAGTGCTTATAAAATACAGGCAAATAAGAATACTGTAGAAGGCATTTAGTACCAATGATGTTTTCTGATGATGACTCCACTGCTGTGCTGATAGCTATAATTACCATTTCAAAGTAGCTGACTTAATAATCATAATGGTGTTGCAAACCAGCCTGCATTTGCCTTTTGAATTGATGTTGTGCTCTGCAGGGAATAAAGTTCAAGCACTCTGCCACCAAGACATGCCCCAGTTGCAGGATGTCAGACAGCAACTTGCTTTGAAGGAGAAGATCTCTTCCAATTCTTCCTACATCAGCTGCTTCTGATAGAATTGAGGGAACTCCTCCACATTTTGTGATTTGAAGTCTTCCAATCCTCTCCATCGACAATGCATGCAAGGTTGGGGATCCACTGCAAATTATCAGTTATTCAGGAAACAATTACAGCAGATGAATAGATGACTACCTACAATGCAGTTGCAAAGTAGAGTTCCTCCAGCATTTGCTGATGAATAGAAATTGATGGGTTTTTTAAATGATTTATTTCATAGATTATAGTGAGATTAAGAAACAAAAATTTGTGGTAATACTGTATAATTAAAAATATCTATAATTAACATGAAAGAGGAAAAAATAAAACGACAATATTGTATTAATATATAATTAACTCAACAAAAAAATGAAGTACTGAGATCTTCTAATTTTTACAATATATTTCAAAAATCAACAGAGAACACGTCTTTTTAATCTTCAAACTTGAAACCAGAAGATAGTCGTAACAAAACAGGATCATATAGTCAGTCCTCAAATTCTTAAGCACTAAGATAAAAAAGAGCTGTCATTCAGCCTTTTTAAACATTTAGGGGAAGGGGTCCAATAGTCATGGAACATTGGTGAACTATATATATTTAACATTTCTGAAAGCTTTGACTCACTTCTATGAGTTCCTGCATCATCTTGAAGATGTTGTTATCAGACCTTGGTCCATAAGTTAAGAAGGTGGTGCTGCATGGCAAAATAGTGATTTCAAGATATGGGTGTATCCAGTGCTTTTTTTCTAAAAAAAAAAAAAAAGGTGCCGGAACTCACACACGTCATACAACCCGCCTTGCCTACCCTACAAGGTTCCATCCAAAAAAGGTGCCGGAACTCTGTTCTGGGCATTCTATGAGAAAAAAAGCCCTGGGGGTAACAACTACATTGTCTCAGAATGACCAGCAGTGTAGTTGAACAACAGCAGGACGCTGAAGACCAGATTCTCAGAGGCAAAATATCACACAATGTAGAATGCAACATAACGAGTTAGAGAAAAGCAGAGGATCGGTTCTCCAGAAATGGGAAACTGGTTCTTCTTTTTCATGGCATGAGAGTTCTAAGAAGCATGGCTTTGATAACATGACAGTTCCTTGCAGCATTGCCACATCTCTGGAAAAAAGTGGCACTTGACTGTCTTGAAGCCCAGAATATTCCTGATTAAGGAGCAGTGTGCCATCCATTTCCAGAATGGTCAGTCTCATCAATTTTGTATCAGCTTATGTCTTTACCCTTCATACTTAGTTAGAACTCTGCTGGATATTTCTCTGCTATTTTGTGGTTCATCAACACTACTTCTCCTATTAGTTTGATATTGCAGAAGACATAGTGCTGCCTAAGTCTTTGAAATCAGGCCTTACTGGGCACTGACCACATTCAGCACCTCCTGCTGCAAACTGCCTATAAAGCTGTAGCATTTTTTTCCAGATTACTGATCTACTCAATAGAATCTTCTTCTGGGCTTGGTTCTGTACCAACACTTCAAGGATCTTTCCCATATTTAGGGATCCCATACAATAAAACCTTGACATTCTTGAGATGTCCTTAATACAACACTTGCACAGATATTGGCTTTTCTTTATGCAGTTGACAATAAACTCTGATACTGTAATGGTGCTCAATGGATGTCTGTACAAGCAACATGACTAGCAGCTTTACTTTTTCACTCAAACCCAGCAGATTGTGAGAACTTTTGCCACTTTCTTCAGCAGTCTGTTTGTCAGCCCTTCAAGGGAGGCCAGATCAGGAAACAAACAGAGCAAGGATTTCAGGAATGCTACTGTACTTCACTCTTATAGATTATAATAAAAGCCTGCCAGAATATCCCTCTTTATTCCCTTATACCAAACAGAATCAACATAATTTCCAAATCAAAAATATTGTTTTTCTGCAAGTTATTTTGAATATCCTTTGAATATCCAGGATTAACTGTTGTTCCATTCCTTCATCGAGATTATCTCTGTAATCCAATACAGTACTATCCACTTGCTCATTTTGATATAAACATTTCCAAAAACATATGCAAGAAGAGGACACCCATATAATGGTTACTTAGGTGAGATGGGCAGCATAGGAACTTAATAACTGGAAGACAATATGAAGATTGGTGGATGTGTGGCAAGATTAGGGCTGATGGGTTCTGGAAAGATAGGTGGCAGATATCTGGGAAGGTTATGTGGATGGAAGTTCAATGCATCCTTTGCGTGTGTGCATAATGGCAAACTATCTGGAACTCCAGGGCAAAAAAATGCAGATACACAAAACTCATTACTGCAGATATTAAGGTGTGGTATTTTAACCACAAATGTGCAGAAATGCAGATAATAGAATTGCCAATCACAAGGACTACCTGTGTCTATTAAAGTCTTCATTACACTTCTACCAACTACCTTCATTGGGAAAACTGACATATTCTTAATAGGTAACACAACAATAAACAAAGTGGATGGTTCACCTGAAAGATGGAGAGAACACTGGGATTTCTGGGACAAAAACAGTGAACTGAAGCACCTCCACTAAAAGCGGAGATGATGAATGCAGTGGAATAAAGAGCTGGTGAGCAGACTGGCTCTTCATAATTCCTCTCTGGACAAGGAGAGGACTTAAGATTACCCACAAGTGCTCCATACAACTGCTCCTTGTGAGGAGATGCAATACAATAGTCTCTAGCAGGTTTAGAAATCTGGGAGACAAGGGAATAGCTATTTTTTGCTCAAACTGTGGTTGGTGCCTTTATGGGTCAGTGGATTCATTACAGTATTCCTTTTTGTCATCACTTTCAGAAAATGTTAATGTTTTTTCGCTATTAGGAACTTTTGAATTAACTAATTTTACGGCACTGAATTTCCTTCAATCCTTACAAAACAAGTTTTAAATATAAATGTTAAGTACTTCAAAAATATTTTGAAATAAACAGCAAATAAACAGCAAAAAGCTGGTTAAAACTGCCCCATGGGAAATCTTTTGTTTTAAATTTTCTAAAAAAAATAGATTGAAACTAAAGACTATGTCATGTGTCTGACATTAGAGAAAACCAGAAGGAACTAAAGATTAGAATGAAAGGATAAGAACATTTAAATTTGACTAATACAGAATGGAGAAAAATATTTTAACATATCTAACTGGACATACTGAAGGATATTTTGAGCAACGGTTAAATTAATTTTAAGTGTCTGCCTCTATAGATATACCGTGTTTAAAAGATGGAAGATGTTTAAGACTAAGACTCATCTGAACGTGGATTTAAAAATGGCAGGCTACAAGAATGACATGAAAAATAATGTTGCACTAAATATACAAAAGAAACTAGCTGATAACAATAATTAAAATGTATACAAAAACAAAAAGAATGATCTGAATAATTTTCCTATATTGGATTTACAAAAAATTGTAAAGCTTTGTTAGGGTTAGGATTGTTTTTAAGGTTTTGAAGAACTTTATGAGAAGAGATAAAGAAAAAAAAATATAAAGTTCTAGGATATTCTTAGACGGGACTAAAGATCAAAAGAGTTAAAAGAAAGAATATAAAGTTGATTGTTGTATGTTGTTATTTTTGGTTACCCTTAATGGACTTTTGCTGACCAGAACCAAATGATGAGACTTTAAGGATTTATTTATAGATAAGAGATAGGATATGGTAAGAAGAGATCATTTGTTGTATAAAAGGTGGTAAGTTACTAAAATTGTTTAATACTTATTGTAATGAAGGGGAATTCATTTCTTCATATATTTCTTTTCTTTATTATATTTGTATTATTTCTTTTCTATTTTTCTATTTTTTCTGCACTTTCTATTTCCTCACTTCCTTGGTATTCAGGAATCCAGAAAATAGGAATAACCCATGAAAAGTCCCACTTCCTTGGTATTCACAAGGAAGTGGGACTTTTCATGGGTTATTCCTATTTTCTGGATTCCTTAACACCTAATGTTTGTCTTTTCAAGTTTAATGTCATTACTTGATTTTTCCCATCTATTTTTGTAATTGATTCTCAAAGTTTTCTATTATTGCTTTAAATCAGTGGTTCTCAACCTGTGGTCCATAGATGGGGGAAGTGCTTAGTCGTCACAGGGGTCCGCAAAGGCTTGAAGAAATGTTATGATTTAAATCTTAAGTTTTGGTGGTCTCTGGCCATGGTCTGTGGTCACAAAAGGTATTTAAAGGGGGTCTGTGGTGAAGAAAAGGTTGAGAACCACTGTCGTAAATTATACATTATTGATCATGAGTTTAAATCAGTGTTTCTCACCTTAGCAACTTTAAGATGTGTGAACTTCAAATCCAAGAACTTCCCAGCCATCATCTTAAAGTCCACACTTCTTAAAGTTGTCAAGGTTGAGAAATACTGCTTTAAATGAATAGATTTTAATTGTGTTATTTACTATTTTTATTAATTCTAGGTATCTTTTAGTAGAAATTGAGATTAAAACACTGCAAATAAATTTAAATCAATATCAATTCTTTTATACAAATTGACTTTGCCCTATAGGTGAAAAATTTCTACCGTCTCTCCACTTTGCAAGTGCAGTATATCAATATGCAGCAAATAAAAAGTTAGATTCAATTTTTTGCCTTGAGGAAGTATCACTTGATGACTGTTGGCTACTGTTTCCCACAGAGAAAACAGCCTATTTTGTTCTGTTTCATCTTGTTCTTGTTCTTCATCCTGGATCTCATCATCCATTTCATTTAGTTCTTCAAGGGTAATACGATCCATATTAACACCTCAGCTTCTGCAAAAAAAATTCAAATTATATTCTCTGAATTGCTCATGATAGCAAAACAATGGTTTCATATCATTTGTAGACAAAACACAGTTTGGAGGGAAACCTCCTCCTTGCCTGTGAGATTTGTAGGTGCTATAAAGCAGGGCTTTTCAACCTTTTCACCCATTGTACCACTTTTAGGATATGGCAATATCCGAGTACCACCAGTCGCCTAGCAAGGTGTCAAAAACTTGATGACCCCCCCCAAAAAAGAAAAAAGTGATGAAGTACAAGTAGTCCTTGACTTAAAACAGTTTGCTTAGTGACTGTTCCAAGTTACAATGGCACTGAAAAAAGTGCCCCCCAAGGCACAGCCGAGCAAGACACCTGCCTGCCCACCCGATGGCGCTCTTCCTCCTGTCCGAGGTTTTCATTGTTGTGAGCATTTCTGTTGAGGATTGGCAGCGGAGGGGGGGTGTTTGGTTTTTATTCCCCCCGTCTGCTGGGTGATTGCAGCAGGTTTTGGTCACTTCACATGACTCTGGGACATTGTGACCGTCATAAATATGAATCAGTTGCCAAGCATCTAAATGTAATTCACAAGACCCTGGAGATGCTGCAACATTCCAGCTGATTGGTGCTTCTTCTGGGCTCAGCAGAAGCGCCAGGATCAGTGCCGAGCTCCAGCTGGAGCCTGGCGCTGATCCTGGTGGTTCCGCTGAGCCCTGACAGCCCTGCAGCTCCAGCCATCTCTCGCTCAAGCTTGTGCGGTGCTGCCACCGGTTCATGTATCAATATATCATTATATTTCTGTGGGCCCTGTTTTATTAATGTTTTTATAAGACTGTCTTAGGCTGGACTGTGTTTGGTTTATTGTTTTATATGTTTTTATGGATTTTCCAGTTTTGTATGAACCCAGAATCATTTAGAATTGGACAGCTAATAAATTGAGATAGATGGATGGATGGATAGATGGATGGCCGATCACTGATGTGAAATGGTTGGGGCACTGGGTAAATTGCTTGAGTTGTTGAATGAGTTGCTTCAGAAGCCAGGACAAGAAACAATGACTTAAAGTTTGGTTGGATATAGGAAAAAATTATAACAGTAAGAGCTGTTCAACAATGGAAATTATTGTTTTGTTTGCTGAAGTTGTATAAACAGAGGATGGACAGCCACTGTTGGAGATGACATAGTCAGCAGAAGTAGCCTGCAATACTGCATTCTAACCACTGGGCCACCATGGCTTAACAATTATAAATTAGCCAATTGTAGATGGCATTATATATTTGAATATTTTTCTCTAAAGAGATTTTTTTTTTGTGAAATATATTAAGAAGGAAATCTATTCTTTGAAATAACTCAGGGCTCTACTAATACATTAACTCTCTGGAATGCATTTAAGATAACCATTATGAATTCTATAATTGCTTTTGCCTCAGCAAAAGAGAAACTCAAGAGTCTGTAATTTTATATAGTTACAGAAGACGGTTAAAGATCCACTTTTATTAACACCACTAATGAATCATATCAAGCATTTATAGCAGCACAGCCTAAATTGGAGCTTCAACACTTAGAATAATTTGATTACTTTGAAAAATGTTAATCAGAAAATATTGGAAATCAGTAATGTAAGCTAAAAAGTAATTGGGTTATCATCTGAAACACACACAGAATTCAGGCCAATGATGGACAGTTATTTACTAAGATAGAATCTGTTAATCTCGGTTTTATGATTTTTATATTCAGTTAACCAAGGACTCCTATAACCAAATTATCAATCTTCTGATATCACATTAAAAAATCACTCACATGACAGAGACATTGCAGTCTATGAAACTAGTTGAATGGCACGGTCAGGCCCAAGGAACCAAGAACAATACAAGAAGTTACTTCCAAGAAGTTTCTTTATTGTTGCTCATCTATAGACAGAAATCTTGCCAGACTAAGGCACTTATCTGCATAACTACCACATATACACTGTGAACAGCTAGAGGGAGTCTTGGCTTCACTCATTCTGCATACCAAAGATTCCAACTTCTTTGTGCTTCCTGGGAAAGAGTCCCTCCCTTTTGTGATTCTGGCTTATATTCCACCATAGGCACAGAACTTTTACTGATTTATTGGCACCCATATTGTTAGAAATGTATAATCATTTAATCTTTCCATTTCCATTTATTATTTCATGAGGCTTTATATTACAGTAATATTAAAGCCTCAGAAAAATCTCACAAGAGGCACAAGCTGTAGACTTTGTACTCTCTTCTGTTACTATGGGTGCAAAAGTATTAACTGCAGTAATAGCCAGGAAACTACAGTACGGAAAATAATTCCATCTATAATTCAGTATCTCAATCTGCATTTGTTAAACAGACAAACATTTGACAGTATCTACCTGGTGACTAATGTTATGGCTATTACATATGAATATTACATCTAATTAATGTATCTTCTAAGAGGGATTCCAATATAATTCCTGTTAGATATTTTAAATTGATAAATAAAACAAAAAACAAAAATATCTGAAAATAGTTTATTTCCCACATTTATTTTGAAGCAATATTGTTTTACCTTTTAATTGTACTGCATGTATGGGCATTTATATAGAAATAAGTGAAGATGAATGTGCAAATACTCTTCAGAAGCAAGCAACATTAGCTTGCTCACAATTTATTTTTATTTTGCTTGTGAGAGGACAGGCTGCCTGCAAAATGGTGCATCCTGGGCTACTGGTGCCCTGTCCCTTTAAGACCTCTCTCTATCCAGCCCAGCAACTGGTGAATATAAAAGCTGAGCAGAGGGATGGTAATTTATGTTCCTGTGGGAAACTAAAACAGCCTGAAACAGTCTAAGGCAAACAGAAGAGTGAGTGTTCTCCAGAAGTAGGACTCACAAAGAGTAGTACAGGTAATTCTTGACTTATGACCACAACAAGTCCAAAATTTCCATTGCAAAGCTAGACAGTTAAGTGAATTTTGCCCCATTTCTTGCAACAGTTAAGTGAATCATTGCAGTTGTTAAGTTAGTAACACGGTGATTAAGTGAATCTGGGCTCCCCATTGACTTTACTTGTTAGAAGGTCACAAAAGATGATAAATTGACCCTGGGACATTGAAACCATTATAAATACTTCTAGTTGTCAAGCATCTGAATTTTGACCATGAGGATGCTGCAAGGGTCATAAGTGTGCAAAACGGTCATAAGTCACTTTTTTCAGTGCTGGTGTAATTTTTAATGGTCACTAAATGAATGGTTATAAGTTGAGGACTACCTGTAGTAGAGGAAGAGGAATTATAATAGAATTAGGAAAGAGTGGTATAGTAAACAGTGAGTACTAGCCTTTTGAGTACTTGTGGGTATGTTGCCTCAAGGCCAAATGTGCTTGTGTTGGCCCTCTGGGGTTTTGGAGCCCATTAACCTGGGTGTACATAAAAGAACCAGTAACATTTGTTTTTATTTTTCATTTCATAAGAGGGAAACACACAAATATATAATATGAACAAATAACTTATTTACTGATAAATTATACATCTATACTCTTTCTAGTAACTTTGAAACACCTACAATATACTGTATACTGAATATTGAACACACTAATCTTAAGCATTTCTGAATTTCAGTTTGTCAACTTCCTATGTAAGCATGCCCTGAATTACAGCCTTAACTGTTTTAAAATATTTTACATATGTGTACATAATGAGAAAAGAAATATCTACCTTAAATATTCAATATATACAATAACTTCATATAGGACTTGCAAAATCTGTAATGGCTTTTAATCTAAAACCAAAACTTCTATATAGCTGAATGCACGTGTGTATGTATCTGTGTATGTATATGTATGTATAGTATATGTTTTACAAATAAGCGCATAAAATGCATACAGATTGGAAATATAATCTGTCAATACATAAATCAGCAGTATTCATGAATTGGCTAGGAATAAAAACTTTTCTTTGGATCTAGTCCAACTAACTCTTGCCATACAAATGTCAGCTAGATTTTTCTGGCAAATTGAGCAAAACATGAAAGCAATAGCTATGATAACCTGTTGTGTCATATAAATAATTTTTAGAGAAACGTTGCGTTTGATTCTGAAGTTGTATTTACTCATCCTGAGTACTAAATATGGTACATTATTTTAAATTCAGAATTATTAAAGCACATGTATAATTGCTACTATCCTGCTGTTCACTTCCTTTGGGAAACAATTTATTGCTAATTCATGTCAAATAAATGTTTATAGGTTCAACTTCAGCAAAGATGTATGAAGAACCTTCTTTTGAAATTTCTTATTTCATGTTACTTTACTTCCTATCCTACTGACCTAAGAATGGATAAACATTTTGTTGTTGACTATTTAAGATAATTTCCAAATGAATTATTTAAAAATATTTTCTATAAACAAAATGTTTTGGAAAATTGGGGAGACCTTCAAAAATTCTAACAGTGAAATAGATTTTATTGTTATACATGGTTATTCTTCCTTTATAAGAAAATATTTATAATTATAATTAAAAATTCATCCATGAATTTTTAATTATAATTATTACCAACTATCGATTTGCCTTTTACAGTTCTTTTTTTATGTGCCCCTTAGAATATTGCAGTAGACCTGTTTTATTCCATTCAATTGGTAGCATTTCCTCCTGCTATTTATACATTTTAGATCGGAGGGGGTCAGACATAGGTAAATGCTATAAAACTAAGCTGCAAATTTTCTGGTATACTGTTCATTTAAAAAAAAAAAAAACACATTTTAATGTTCCCTGAAACCTAGATTTCTATTTTCAAGTAAGAGGGTGGATGAAACTTTAAATAGTAGGAACCGAGACTCCTTTATTGAATAAAGAATCTATCTCATTGACATTTGGGAATACTATGGCGACATCGTGCAAGATAAAAAAATTACCTTTTTCCTTCTAATTGGTTACCTCCTGTGTAACAGGCAGTTTCAACAGGTAAAGGGGCTAGCAGCCTGAGTAATGGGGAAGCTGCGCCTGGTGAATTTGCTCCTGTCGGCTTGCGCAGAAAAGGGAGGTGTCGGTAAAGCTTTTTCTTTTAAGCCACAGTTCCTCGACCAAGGTGACAAGCGGGGCTGGAACGGCAGAGGCACAAGCCACCTTTAATCGTGGGTCAGGGAGGGGCAAAGGAGGGGGAAACTTGGCGAAACACCGGTCTGCCCCAAGAGGACAGAGCCAGGCGCGGGCACGGCGAAATATTGAGGCAGACCCGAGAAAAAGCCGATCTCCCTAAAAGGCGCCTCGGGCGACCTGTAAGTCGGGCGCGTCGGGAATCCTACGCAGGACAAGGGTTACGACAGACCAGGGAGGGGAACCTGACATCAGGCCCCGCCCCGGCTCCGCCCAGAGAGCGAGCGCGCCCAGCGCCAAAGGGGAGAGGGGACGGGGTCCGCACTCCGCTCCACTATTGGGGGTAGAGAAAGGAGGAGGAAAAGAGGGTTACCTGGCACTTCCGGTACCTTTTCCGACCCGGAATAGATTCCGCCTGCTCAGGCGGGTGCGGGTGGGGGTGGGGGGGGGAAGGGGCGGAAGACCAAGCAGAAGAGGCTCGAAAGGGATGACGTCACCCAGGATAGATTGAAGTTCGGGCCTTCTGCCGGTTCTTTTTGTTTCGGCAAGTGGGGCTAGTCGTGGTTCTGATCGAAGCCGCCTAGGGCAGCGGCGAGCTGGAGCAATAGGAAGAGTCGACCAGAAGGGCAACCGTTTTAGTTTCTTGAATCAAAACCGACGAAGATGATCACCACGATGTAAAAAAGATGTTGAGACTCTAGAAAGAGTACAGAGAAGAGCAACAAAGATGATTAGGGGACTGGAGGTTAAAACATATAAGGAAATGTTGCTGGAATTGGGTATGTCTAGTTTAATGAAGAGAAGGACGAGGGGGGACATGATAGCAGTGTTCCAATATTTCAGGGGCTGCCACAAAGAAGAGGGGGTCAAGTTATTTTCCAAAGCGCCTGGAGGCAGGACAAGAAGCAACGGGTGGAAACTGATGAAGGAGAGAAGCAATCTAGAACTAAGGAGAAACTTCCTGACAGTTAGAACAATTACCAGTGGAACAACCTGCCTCCAGAAGCGGTGAATGCACCAACACTGGAAGTTTTTAAGAAGAAACTGGACAGCCATTTGTCAGAAATGGTATAGGGTTTCCTGCCTGAGCAGGGGGTTGGACTAGATGACCTCCAAGGTCCCTTCCAACTTTATCATTATTATTATAAGAATTTAAGAAATTGCTGGAACGTAAAATGTTCTAGATTTCTTTGGATTACAATACAGTGTTTTCAAATAAGCATAAAATCTAAACTATAAAGTTAAGGGGCAAAAAAGACTAATGGTTTTTTTTTAATGGATCATCTCATATAATTCCCAGAGGGTGCTTTTCGATACTTCAAAAACAAACAGTAAAATCAAATGGATCTGTCGTCCATAAAAGGACTTTGGTCGCCAAAACCTTACCCATATCCTACAAAAAAGTTAACTGCTTAGATAGTGGTGCTTTCCCTATTTTCTATTTTATTGTAACTGGATAAAAAAACAGTTGATAACACCTGATCGGTATCTAATTGTTAAACAGTAATGCCTAACCTCACTTTTGGTTGTAGGGACTTTTCTTATCACAACTCAGCAAACTATTGCAAAGTAAGACCTGTCTCAATACTGTAACTGCATACAGTAGTATTCTTTGGCAGTAAGCAAGGCCCAAAGTTCTGGCCCAAATCATTACTGTAATTTGCATTAGTCTCCTTATAAAACTAACAATGAATCACGACCACATTTTAAAATTGGTTAACCAATTTAACCTATGTCTGGATTGCAAAAATTCAGTTAACTGCCAATGGCACAAAATGGTAGAGAAAACCCTAACTCATTGCTGCCACCTACTAATCATTTACATTTTTATGACTTATATAAGCTAGCTTTAGCCAGGGTGAGCATTATTAATTTTATATATTCAACAATGTGAAACCACAGCTGCAAGTTCTTTAAATAGTGTTAGCCTTTATACGCATTAAGTTCTTCCCAAGAATCTAGGATGTTGTAATATATCAACATAGTATATGGCCTTTTGTAATTGACAGATGAAAAGTTTGTCAGCACAGATTTTCTAAGTGCTGTCCAAGTTCTTTTGATACGGCACCCAGTGAGCCAATAACTATTAGGATCACTACAGCTGGTTTATGTCATTGACTTTCAGCTTTGATTTTCAGGTGCTTGATACTTTGTGATCTTGTCCAATTCTTTGTCTTCTATTCTACTATCCCTTGGTATTGCCACATCAATTATATGTGCAAATTGACATGTAATGCTTTTCCTAGCCAGCAATCTATATTTTTGTTACATTATTACAATATTTATATTTTGTTTCCTGCACTTTAAGTAAATTCCAATTTTAACTTGCATCAGTGCTTGTTCTTGGCTGTTTTTATGTAGTCAGCCAATGCATGCATTTATTCTTTGACAGTTTGACTTGAAGTAAACTTCTGCTTCTATTTCTGCAGGGCAAGTATAATCTATCAATATCACTGCGAGGATATAATGTACACTGAATAGTCATTAGCTTTCTTGATTTCAGTCCAAATTGTCCAGCTCAGCTTCTGTCTAATTAATAATTCCAGCAAGGTATCATATCACAGGTATGGCCCTGGTATTATGGCATTGATAGTGTTTTCACTGTTCAATTTTATCTTTAGCAGTTTTCTCACTTTTTGGATGTATTGTTTATTAATCACATTTTAACTTGTCTATCCTTGCTGTTATCCAATTGTAAAATGCCCAGATACTTATAGGCTTTAACATGATGGCTCCTGATGGTTTGGCCATTTGGCATTTAAATTCTATTACAATTCATGATTTTACCGTGACTTATTATTACTGTAGCATGTCTTTCTACAATAAATTTCATTGCTATATCTGTGTTCAAAATTCTTACGGTATTTGTCAATGATTGGATTTCTATTTCTGATTTTCCATAAAGTTTCAGATCATCATCATCATCATCATCATTATATATGCAAAAATATGAAATCATAGCTGCTCATCTTTTAGCTGATATTGGCTTTCATTTGCATCAAGTTCTTCCCCAATACTGTCTTGGTGTAATGCATACACAGAGTAGCCTTTTATAATTGACAGATGAAATTTTTGTCAATGCAGAGTCATTATTATGGTTGGTCACAGTCAGCCAGATGGGTTGTTGTTAATTTGTATTTTACCTTTTAAATATGTGTTTTGGTAAAATCAAGGCAGCAAACATGCCTCATAATCTTGCATCCTGTTTTCCCCACCACATTCCTATGAGGTGGGTTGCGCTGAGAGAGTGACTGGCCAAAAGTCACCCTCTCATATTGGTATAATTATGACTTGTGTTCAACAGTACAGATGTTTATTCTTGCTCTTCTCCTTAAGAAAATGGTAATGTGCCTCCACTTTTCTGTGCAATAATTATGACAGTTTTTGTGTGCTCAATACTGCTCTTTCTCTTTTTTATTGCCATAACTGTTATTCAGTGAAGATAGAAATCCAAGACAAATGAAATGAAAACATTTGGCAAGTTTGTTTCTTGTGATCATTTTATTAAATTAACACAACAACAATCAGAAGTAAATCAAGGGTAACATATGCCCATTGCTTTGTACTACCGTTGTTCATTTGAAGACAGACACCACTGATGAGTCAAGATGCAGACAAAGCTTGTAGAAAGTGAACATATATTTAGCCTCTGTAAAATCTACATGCCTCTTCATACTTTGACTTTATCCCTTATGTAAAATAATTTCCCACAAAACTGAACTAGTCAACTTCTTCCTGCTTCAGAAGTTTTGGAGCAACTGGAAAGGTATTCATCATAAAAGGCTGCAGGATGAAGATAAGGGCTGTTAGAGTGCAAGAATAAATTCAACTAAATCCTATCAAAGTCAAGCCTAGAGGTAGGCACTGAAGGAATAAGTCAGCATGAGAACCCAGCTGGAGATGTACTTCTCCCAGCAGTACTGTGTAGTGGAAATGTAGCTCTTCTTAAGGGAGAGCTATGTCTTTGCACTTCAGAGAGCCAATACTTCATGTAAGAGCTCTTGGAGCACATTCTGTGCAATCATCAAAACACAACTTGGAAAGTGCATTCAGCCCGGGTGCAAAGTCCATGACAAATCACTAAAGAGAGTTTCCTTATCTCATCTGGCAGTAGCTCCACCTTGGTTAGTACCATCCATGGTGAGAGCTGGTGACTCGAGAAGAGGTTGCAACTGAAATATCCAAATAATAAGAGAAGCGGGTAATATTTGAGATGGCAACATGGGTAGACTCAGTTAGAGGTGCGAGAGGAAAGATCCACGCTACTTGCACTGAAGCCTCTACTCTCAGCTCGAAGATGTTGAGAAGCCTGAAAAACAAATCCTCTTTTTATGAATTTGAATCTGCCAGTCGACACAAGTCTGTCTCCCAGCGTGCATTAAAACTGATCTAATGTATGCTCACATTTATATCCAACAAATATTAGATTAGACTGTAAATCCTGGATTTCACAAAGATGGTAAAGGAAAAAAAACCTTTGCCTCCACAATTAAATGTCATATCATCCCAAATCATCACTCATCTTACAAAACATAATGCTAGGTGGCTGTCAACAGTAAAAAACAATTAAAAATGGTAGAAAAAAAAACCCTAAAACCTCCCAGTGCCCACATATCCACAAGGAATGTTTCCGGGTCTAACCTCACACATCTGGAGAAAAACCAAGTCTTTTAAGTTTTTCAGAAAGTTGGGAGAGTAGGGATCTGCCAGATCTCAGGAGAGGGTGTTCCAAAGGACAGGTAATAAAGAAGGTGCATTGCCTAGATCCCCCTACATGGCAACATTTAAGGGGAAAGACCTGGAGCACAGCTACTCTAGTGGGAGATGGTCTTGCAAATAATTTGGTCCTGTATCATTCAGGGCTTTAAAAACGATAACGAAACAGCAAGGGTATACCTGCATGAAGCATACTCAAAACTGTTCCACAACATTTCTGAATGATCTTCAACAGCAGCCCCATATAAACCATGTTGCAATAAACCAGAAAGGATTTGAAAAGATTTGAACAAAAGATATGAATATTTGAGACAAGTTCCTTTCTCCTCCTTCCCTGTCTTATGTATGCATACTTCATTCCCTATGCTTTATTTTACATATTCCTCTAGCATTATGCCATATCCTTGCCTAATCCAGAATACAATAGCTCTTTTGAAGAGGAGGGTGGCAGTTTTTCAAGCTATTACCGGTATGATTATCATCTCAGAAACAATCACTTGGAAATTTGTCCAATATTTCACTCATTTTGTAATTGTATCTGGAAAAGGGGAGCATCAAACAAAATAATACGAAGAAATGTTCACGACTAAAAAACACATCCAACCCCTAACTGAACATATCTCACTTGTATATTCATTTTCTTCCCTATTCCTTCTCATTCTGGGGTTAGCAGGACAGTAATGCAAAAAGTATTCATTAATTGTTATTACTATTTTGGGAATAAGGCAAATAATGCTCTTACCTGGAAAGTATCCTCACTGGATTTATTCAGGTAGTTTAACGAAACAGCTCGTTTCATGCTAATAAAGTAGGGAGAAAGAAATCTATTTTTACTGCGCTGTCTCCAGATTTACTTTTGCTTTGATCCAGATTAATATTAAATAAACAAAAACTCAAAACTAAAACTTCTGTTTTAGTTAAGGGGGAAAAAACAGAAGAGAATATTCAAGACTACATGTCTAAAGCTGAAAATTCATTTCTTGATTGTATCAATAAAAATTTGGAATTGTATCTTTATTAATACTTGAAATGAATGAATATATGGTGATTTAGAAGCTAGCATCTTATCAGAAAAGACTTAGACAAATATGATCTTCTCAATAGACAGACATGCTGGGATAATCATGATGGTGGAAGTATTGTAATTTAATTCATCAAAAGAATATAAGAATGGAAAAGATACCGTAAACAATGGCAAATGAGAACTAAGAATGGTGATGCCATTTTCTATAGAATGGTATCACCATTGTAAAAAATCATTAGACTACATGGCTCATAGTCTCATCATGTCATGTTTTTAAGCAAGGACACATTGTGAAGTCGCAGAAATGTATCCTTGCTTAAAATGTTCTAGTACAGCATAAAAGTTAAAGCACTGCAGTCAGCCTACCATACAGGCCATCCAGAATTGTTAGATTATGTGTCACACAAATACATTAAGTAGAAACTAAAATTGTTTTTATTGCCAATTAAAGATGATCAATGAGTTATGCAGTCTATGGTAAGGAAAGGGGCAGGTCTGACAGGCAACAAATATATATGAGCCCAAGAAGTGCCTCCTACTTTGTACTACGTGGCTCTAATGGGCCATTCCCTTGAAGTTTCTTGACCAGAATTTCACTGCTTCTTCTTAGCACATCTCGAATCTTTCCTAGTGAACCAGTGCGTTGAAGAGCACCAGTACCATCCTGGAAAGGAAGATAAAAATATGACAAGAGATATAGTGGATTAAGTCTTGGTATTCCAGAATATAGAATTCCAGGTTAGACTGTAATAACAGCAATATTCTGAAAATTTAGCTTTTTTTAAAAAAAATAAAAATAGAAAGCAATACTACCAAACAAATACAGGTATACATCTCAGTTTCATTAAACTCTAAATTAGTTTATACACTGTAAAGCATGATTATACCAGGTATTTAAGTAGGAAATGCACTTCCCCATTAAAAAAAATCCCTCCACTCAAAACCAATAGCGAAAGCGTGCAATCCTGTTTTTCTCCTGCTTTGTGTTGGAATTGTTTTCTTTCTTTTGAAGATTAGATTTTTTAAAATGTGATTTTTTCCAATAACCTGAAATAATACAATTCATCCAGATTCCTAGTGAGATGCTACAGCCAGCAAATTTTAACTGAAATCACAGGTCTAATTTAGGTCTCTGTGGTCTTTTCTTTAGTCACAACTACTTAATTAAAAAAAAAAATCTGGGAACTTATTTGCTCCAAGTTATTAAAAAAAAACCCCTGTATCTCTAGTTCAGTTATTAGTTTTTTGTTTTGTTTTGCTGGCATCTAATTGCTGATACAAAATATTTCAACACTTCATACAAAAACAATATGCTATCTTAAGTGGGTTTCAAAGGGATTTACCAGAGAATAAGGCTGCTATGAGTCATTATGTTGCATATTGCTCTCATTGGGCAACATTAGGAGGAAACCATTGGGTTCATGCCCAAATCTTACTTAGTATAGCTAACCAGGAATATTAAGAAATAGGATGCCAAATTAGATTTTGTCAGTTCCAACAGTTTTCGCTTTATATTACTTTTCTACATCATATACTATATTTTTGTATTATTTTTCTATATCATATACTATACATTTTGTTTGTCTTTTTCTCTGTGGTTTCATGAAGGTTGAACATATATCTTGTAGTGAAAAAGACAGGAAGTATTCTAAGATGTTTAGATATACTAATTAGATTTCCAACTGAGAAAACATGAAGTTTCTATTTTTTCCCAAGAGATTCCTTACACCTCACATCAAGAATAGGCAATCTCATTTCTGTGAATACCAATATGTACAGTATATGGATTTCTCCTTGGTGTCTATGACGTTCCTGATCCCATTTTATTTTTAATTAAAATTAAGAGTTAAAAGATGCAAAACATAGGCTTTCAGCTTCAACTTTATTTCCAAGACTGCCTCTGAACACATATAGGTAATTCTTTCCAGGACAGTAAAAAATCAGTATGCATGATTCTACTCCAGACAAAAATAAAATATAAACTCTGCGATAAGAAGCATGGAGGACAGGATAAGAGAGAAGGGGAGCACATTCACTTGCTAGCTTTTCCTAGATAGATATTTATGGTAGACATATTTGTGAAAACACAAATACAAAGGACACATGCTTTCAAAATGCTGTGTACCCATAAGACAGTCCACTTCTGTGTTATGAAGAGAATTTGTCTTCTTTAATTCTAATATTGCACCCTTATTAAGCTAAATTAACCACAACTGCCAAGTCCTGAAGTGAAAATAGTAAGTCTTCTCAAAATAAAATCCTCTGCTCAGGATGAAGAGATTCTTCTGTATATACACTATCTCCTTCCAGAATACCAGGGGAAGGGAAATGCTTCTAAAACAAATTTCTCTCGATTTTTAAAAAGTAAACATGCCACATCAGTCCTGTTCTTGGTGTTTGTCTTGATTACACAGAAGGCTATGAGCTGGAGATACACTTAGGCCACTATTCTTTTACAGCAGTGTTTCCCAACCTTGACAATTTTAAGGCATGTGCACTTCAACTCCCAGAATTCCACAGCCAGCAATGCTGGCTGTGGAATTCTGGGAGTTGAAGTCCACATGCCTTAAAATTGTCAAGGTTGAGAAACACTGTTTTACAGTTAACCTTTTTAAACTGTGTTCTCAATGCTGAAAAAAACAAATTCATGATCATTGGCTGAAACTTTGGAGAACTATGTTATATTATAGGTTGATGTAAGAGATCATTGGTTTCACATAATCTTTTGTTTTTAGATTCTAGAACTCAAACCCATGTCATACTATGGTATGAATCAAGGAATGCTGAGAGTTGTAGTTCAACATCTAAAAGGCCAGTGATTCCCTGTGACCAGTGTGTGCTCAGCAGTATACAATGCAAGAGTTAATACATGTAAGAAGCTGGGGGCAATTTCAATGTGAAGGCCATTTGGACTCCAGTAGGCTTACATGGGGATGATGGGGCATCAATAATAATCTATTTCAGTTTTTAAAATCCCATTGTTGCTATGTTTATTAGTAAATCAAGGTGGTAAAACAACTAATACTCCTTCCTCCTCCCCTTTTCGCCATAACAACTTTGTGAGGTGAGTTGGGATGAAAGAAGAGAGAGAGAGAGAGAGAGAGAGAGAGAGAGAGAGAGAGAGAGAGGAGAACCTATACCATTTCAGATAAGTGACTGTCTAGTCTCTGCTTAAAAACCTTCAGTAATGGAGCACTCACAATTTGTGAAGGCAAGCTGTTCCACTGGTTAATTGTCCTCACTGTTAGGAAGTTTCTCCTTAATTCCAGATTGCTTCTCTGCTTAGTTTCCAACCATTGTTTCTTGTCCTGCCCTCTGGTGCCTTGGAGAATAATTTGACCCCCCCTCTTCTTTGTGGCAGCCCTTCAAATACTAGAATACTGCTATCATGTCACCCCTATTTCTTCTTTTCTTTAGACTAACCAAACCCAAGTCCTGCAGCCGTTCTTCATATGTTTTAGTCCCCAGGCCTTTGATCATCTTAGTTGCTCTTCTCTGAACTTTTTCCAATGTCTCAACATCTTTTTTGTAGTATGGTGATCAAAACTGGTTGCAATATTCCAGGTGTAGTCTTACTAGGGTTTTATAAAGTGGTATTAATACTTTGCGTGATCTTGATTATATGCTTCTGTTTATACAACCCAGGATTGTATTAGCTTTTTTGGGTGGTGCTGCACACTGCCGGTATACTTTAATGCTTTAACCATTAGACCAGACTGTGGTTATTATTGCCCAGAAGACTTGAATCTTTTCAATTTAATACAGTTCCAACATATGATTATTCTAATAGTCTAGAATATGGGAAAAGCACCAAATTACAAATGGCTACTGTTCTGGTAGGAATCTACCCTGGTGGATCCAAGTTGCCTGGCTCACATTGGATCCTGTTGGAATTACAGCAGCAACAGCAGCTGTGAATGTCTAAATATGTGAGCCTAGTCCCAAGTCCATGGTTTATTCAGCCAACCAAGGTTTCGCCCAGTGAATAATTTGGCCATGAAATTCACAATGACAGTGGAATCTATTTAATCTGTTGTTTCATCTAAGAATGCATCCTGTTACTTGAATTTTTGCAGTACATGCCACTTAACAAATATCAGTTATGCAGAATTATAGTTTGTGCTTGGAGAGGTGTTTATATGAAGAAAAGATCTTTATAGATATTCCATCCAGTTTATACAGTAAGACACATTTGCTACCTAATGCATTCAATACAAAATAACTATTCCTGGCTAAATGTTGATACTTCGGTGAAGCAAAGTCCTGGCTATATAACTAATTAGTTATATCATAAGCTAAGCTACATGTTTGTGGTTTAGATGAGGTCTTTATTCCTGAACAATTTATTGTATTGGAAGAATTCAAATATTTTTTGTACACCATCCAGAGCCATGTGTTTTGTGCAATGGGTAGCTGTATAAATTAGACAAATAAATTTCCACATTTTAGAGCAGGTTCAGTATGTCACATCAACTATGCATCTTTTAAAAATATTAGTGGTTCTTACTGCTTTGAAGGGTAGGATATGTTTTATATTTTTATATTCCAGTGCGCAGACATATGAAACAAAAATTGGAGTTGTGAAAATCCTTTTCTTCTGAAAATATTGGGTTGTTTCTGTTGGAACAGGCATTTTACAATAATTGGGGAAATGTTCTATAGAAATGAGCAGTAACCTTACGGGATATAGTCTGAGTAATGACTTCTAGGTGTCAAAAGACTGATTTCTAAATGTTCTCCTTTGTTTGGGCTGCAAAGGGGCATCATAGAGAAAAAAAAGGTGCTAAGAAAATGATTTCTACATAACAACGTGTTCATATGATCCCTGTAAATCAAGGTTCATTTTTAGGCTATCTTTACTGTTTTACCTGTCATGGAATATTTTTTTTTTTCATTTTGCTGCCAGTATGCATACAAATATAGAAAGCCAATTTGGTATAGTAGGCTAGGTACCAGGAGATTGTGAGTTCTAGTCTGCCTTAGGCACAAAGCCAGCTGGGTGACCTTGGACCAGTCTCTCTGTGTCCTAGGAAGGACACAATGGCAAACCACTGCTGAAAACCCATGTAGTCACCAGGAGTCAAAAACTGCCTTGAACCCCTCAAAAAAAAATGTACACCAAGACTTATTCAACAGAACAGATAATGAAAGGGGGTATTTGTTGTAGGACAAAAAAAATATAGGATTCACTTTTATTTGAACTGATTTCATCCTCCGCAGTTGAAGTAGATGGTGTTCTTAATATATCAGAATGACAGTACAGTTTGTACATATCTAGACATAATCATTTTGGCAAGTAGGACTCTTAAGGAAAAAGCAAGATACTTTACTGCATGGGACAAATGCTTTATTCAGAGTAAGACACTTCTGAAGCCTTGCCCACTCTCTTAATAAAATTAACCTAAGTGCAGCTTTCACAGGCAACACACTTGTTTCGAAATAAGACTGTGAAGGAAACAGTCATGGAAAATAGCATGTGTTTTGATCTTGTCAGCTTGTTTCCAACACTAATCATCACACAAAGATTATATATGTGACCTTAGGTAGTGATGTGTATTGCTTGATAAAAATACAATTGTGTTTTTGAATATTTTTAGCAACTCTGATAGAACTGCAGTGACTTGTGGTCTAAAGTGATTGTGGAAGTAAAGGCAAAGGCAACCT